CCAGATTTGTTAAAGCTTTCCTTCTAAGGAGCAAGCATCTTTTAATTTAATGGCTGCAGTTGCTATGTGTGGTGATCTTTGAGTCCAAGATTACAAAACCTGACAATGCTTCTATTCTCCCTTTATTTGCCAGGAAGTGATGGAGCCAAGTTCCAAGCGATGGAATCAAGTTGCCAAGATCTTAGTTTTTTTTAATATTAAGCTTCAAGCCAGCTTTTACACTTTCCTCTTTCATCAAGAGGCTTCTTAATTTCTCTTTACTTTCTGCCGTGAGTCCGGTGGTATCTGCATATTTGAAATTGTTGCTATTTTTAACAGCAACCTTAACTCCAGCTTTTGAGTCACCCAGCCTGGCATTTCACATGATATACTCTGCATATAAGTTAAATAAATAAGGTAACAACATGCAGCCTTGTTGTACTCCTTTTCCAATCTTCAAAAAATCAGTTGTTCCATGTTCGGGTCTAACTGCTGCTTCTTGCCCCACATACAGGTAGCTCAGGAGACAAAGATGATTCAGTACTCCCACCTCTTTGAGGACTTGCCACATTTTATTGTGATCCACACAGTCCAAGGCTTTAGTGTGGTCAATGAAGCAGAAGGAGATGTTTTTCTCAAATTCTTGTGCTTTCTCCATAATTCTGATCAAGTATAAGGAGATCGTGAAGGAACAGATAACTGGAGAACAAATAGACAGCGATATCGAAGGAAAAGAGAGTATCCCAAGATGGTTGATAGGCTCAAGAACTCAAAAAGAATGAGGACTGAGAAAAAGCCACTGGGATGGCAATAAAAAAGATCTTTTGGTAATTTTGGAGAGCAGGTAAAATGGAGAATTCAGAAGTAGGACCACAAGGGAATGAGAAGTCAGCAGGAGGTGATGGAGGACAGGACAGGAGTGGAGATGACTCCTAGGAGTTTGGCTGTGAAACTGCTTTTAGGAGCAATATAGGGCAGATTACCTTTCCCTTCTAATCTTTGAAACATCTTTCATTTCTTCCTTAAAGGACTGATTAAAATTCTACTTAGTACTTGAGGTCTTGCCTGGTTAATAAAAACAAAGTACAAATACACTGTAGGCATGATTTCTCCTGAACTGGGGCATGTTTTATCTAATGTCCCTAAATTCTGAATATGTTTTGCTTTTTATTTTAATTTATTTCTGTGTGTAACTATCTTTAGATAGCTCCTTCCCTCTTCTTTTGCATCTTTGCCTATTGAAATCCCACTTACTCTTCAAGGTTCGGTTTAAATATTTCTCCTTCATGGAGCCTTCTCTGAGCTTTCTAATCACCTTTCATTTTTCTGAACCTCCAAAACACTTTGTACCTTTTTTTAGGAGATAAATACATTCAGCCTTGTAGTATATTTATTTGTGTGCCTGCCTTAATGTCGTGGTAGGCTGCAAGCATCTTAAGGGCTGAAACTGTTACATTCATCTCTTTATTTTCTTTAAAGCCTATCAAAGCACTTTTGAGAAATTATCAAGTATCAAAAGACACTTGGTGAATTGAATTTACACACTAAAGATGTTCCTAAAAAGTTACAGAGACATCCATATGCATATACATAACAAAATCTCTGTAAATCAATTCATTATTTAAAGATATGAGGGAAGTCTGCCACTTAAAGGGGAATCTTACTGCAAATCTTTTCACTATGAAAAAGATGACCCTTATCTTTTGTTTAAAAGTAATTTTCATAGGTAGGATTTGCTTAAGTCAGGATATCTGTACCTATCATGTATATCTGTTAATTGTTATTTATTTGCATACTTCATTTAGTCCACATCAATCTTCAGCAGAAAGCACATCTCAAAATTGTGCTTTTATAGCACCTAACAAAACCACAACCACGTAGACAAATACTACTTAATCATAGTAACATTTAATACTTTGTTGTCTAATAGTCTAAATCACAAATGTATTATTATATGGACACATTGCTACAAAAAACTTGATCCCTTACAGTTCTCTTCACACATGAAATCGAGCTGAGTAGGTCTCAATTTTCTCCACACTGTTCTTAAATTCTACTCTTTTTTTTATTATGCATTAAAAAATACTTACCTTTGACTTCAGTGTTTTCAAGGGAAGTCATTTTTCCTTATCCAAAGGACTTTACCTGAAGACTGCTGCTGAAAAATCTAGAAATGTATAAGTATAAAAGAATGAACAAAATGTAAGTTAATTTGGCAACTGTCTCTTCAACTGAAATATTCTAACCTGTTAACTGCTTCTGCAATGAGATTACATGTATTCCAAGTATCTCTGAAATTTATTACTTTATGTGATATATAATCTCATAGATGACCTTGTAGTGCTAGTCAGATACCTGGGCTATTCTTTTCAATTCTGTATAGCATATTTAGGCAAAACATTAACAAACTGTTGCTGGAGGCAGCAACTTTCAGAGTTGAAACTAGGAACACCTGGGTTCAAGTCTTACCTTCAATATGTAACTACTGTGTGATGCTTAACCTCTCAGTGCTCTAGCCCAAATTTTTGTTTTGTTTTGTTTTTTGGTAAGGCAATTGGGGTTAAGTGACTTGCCCAGAGTCACACAGTTAATGAGTATTATGTGTCTGAGGCCGGATTTCAACTCAGGTCCTCCTGACTCCAGGGCCAGTGTGCTATCCACTGTGCCACCTAGCTGCCCCTCTAGCCAAATTGTGTAAATGTGAGTTACAGAGAAGCCATAGGCTTGTGTTAGTAGAGGGAATTTCCTCCTCAGGGAGCTCTCTTTACCACTAAATAAAATAACAGTACCAATTCTATCTATCTGGAGGAGACCTACTAGGTTAATAACAAATGCTTGAGAAAATTATGGAGGGTTAGATTCACAAAAAGACTTGGGAGAACATAATATTTATCCTCTAATATTTGAAGTATTGTCATTAAGAAGAAGAACAAAGTTTATTCTGTTTGTTTCTAGAGGGCAGAACAAGGCCAATCAGTAAACATAATGGCATGGCAGATTTTTGTTTAGAATAAGTAAGAACCCCTTAACAATTAAGGTTGTCTGAAAACAAAGTATGTTTTTGCCATAGGCTATGGATTCTTTATCTTTGGAAAAGTTCAAGCAGAGGCTTGAGTGCAACTTGTCTGAGATGCTACAGAAGAGATTTATGCATCAGGAAGAAGGTTGGACTAGGGAACCACTGTCTTTTTGAAATGGAAGGAACCTTAGTAAGCTCAATGCAATCCTATAAAGCTGAGAATCAAAGAAGTTAAATTATTCACCCGAGGTGAATTACAGGTCAAGGAACTAAGACAAAACCCAGGAATTCTGACTCAATCCAACGTTTGTACAATTATGCTAGTGGCTTTTAATGTAAAAAAAAAGATAACAGATTTCACAAGATAGTAATTATAGTCTCAGTATTTCCCTTACAGGTCGAGAATGTGCAATAGTATGGTCTTTAAAGTATTTTCAACTCAGAAATTCTATGACCCAGAGGGATCATCAGCATGGAAAAAACATTCTGATGCAATACTGTTACCACATTAATGTCAATGTAATGACTTCCAACAATGTCATCAATGTTGACACCAATTTGTCAACGCTGCACCATTGCTCAATCTAGAACAGGATGGGGCTTCAATTATATCCTCTGCCGAGGACTAAAAAGCAAATGGCTATTAATGATAATGATAACTGAATACTCAATTGTGGCTATCTCTGAAAGGATACGCTGCAGAAGCAAAAAAAATGATAGGTATAATGATCTCAGAATGGACGTGACACTGTCACCTAGCTTTGGGGTACGAGGGACATGATGAACATGTTCTCTTGTAACTGAAGGGTTCCCCACAAATCACACTCTCCCCTGAGTTCTAATCTATGGGGAAGGGTATCCAAGACCCTCCCTCCTCGGGAAAACCATAACATCGCCCACTTGGAAACTTCTTTCCAGAACTTCCTACAACCAAAAATGCCCACGATGACTACCAAAGAAATGAGGTGCTGAAAGCATGAATAAGAATGAAGATGCTAATAGTCTTTTTCTGGCCCCGCATATTTGGGAAACAGGATTCCTGGGCTCAGCCCTGTCTACACGGCCCATTCAATACCGATTAGTGACCTCTCCCACCGACCATCAACCTCTTCCATTCCCTGTATTGGAAGCTGTATCGGGGGCTGTTGATCTTACCGTACGTTTCACTGAGCTGTTTCCCTCGCTTTTCCCTGCCTGGGATGCACAGCCGCCCGCGGCTGTACCGAAAAATCTAGCTTCTCTTTCTCCTCTGACTCTTTCCGGCTTCTTGGAGATTCGCTTCCGGGTTATCCTCATCTGACAGCGGAAATATTGTTCTGAGATGTTGTTCTAAGTATATGTTTAAACCGAATGACAGTGGCATGGGACATCAGTTACGGAAACTAGAGGCAAATAACTTTCAAAAGTCATAGTTTCGCAGATGTTTGTCGCTCCTGGCTCTTTAATACTCTTCACTTCCGGGTCAATCAGGTATCAAGCGCAAGCCAGGATGTTGGCGATTGGAGGGTGGTGTCAAGTTGCCTAGAGCGACAGCGTGGAAGGGGCGGGCAAATCAAAGAAAGGGGGCGGGACCTGGACCGTTCTGGCAGCTAAGAAGCCGGGCGAAGGGGCGGGGTGGAGGAAGGAAATGAAATCGGAGCTAGAAGGCTCGTGGGCGGGGCTTGGTTGCCACAGTAACTGGGAAACTTGGGACACGTTGAGAGCTTCCTGCGTGGTAACTGACAAGTAGGTTCGTGGTACTGGAGGCCTTGACGCCATGGTGAGTGTGGGGAGAGCCAGCGGCTGCGCCCTTTAGACCTCAGGCTGTTGCCCCCCCCCCCCCACGTCTAGGTTCTCTAAGGGCTTGGGACGGGTGGGAGGGAGCCGCTCTGGTTTCGCACGCCTTATGTCTTAGTCAGCTTCCTCTAGGCACTATTCCCCCGTTCTCTTTGGAGCTTCCAGGGAGCCAAGGATCCCCTGTCCCTGTGGGAGGAGGGGGGAGTAGCGGAGAAGATGACGTCACGGGGAATCTCCTGGGGAACAGACCTGGCCTGGGCTGGAGCTCTGCCGCTGCCCTTCTTGCCTCATTTTTCTGGCTAACCTGCTTCTCCTGGGGTATGTTAAGTCATCTTTCCGTAGCTCGTCCCAGCATCAGCGATTTCTGAATCCTGTGGGTATCATCATCCCTTGTTTAAGGCACACGGTTCTAGAATAGTTTGGCTGTCAGCTGTGTTACATTCCTTTCCCAGACTTCATAATAGCTAGCATTTATGTAGTGCTCATTTATAAAGCTCTTGGCAAACCCTAAAGTAATGGATAAATACTACCTAGTATTAATTTTTAAATTTTTCAAAGCATTTTGCAAATGTCTCATTTTATACTAACAACATCCCTGGGAGGTAAGTGTTATTATTTTTTTTTTTTATTATCCTCACTTTACACATGAGGAAACTGAGACAGACAGAGGTTTAGTGACTTGCTGGGGTCTTAGGGCCAAAAAGTATCTTAGGATGGATTTGAACTCGTCTTAACTACAATACTATACACGTTCCACCTGGCTGCGTGCAGTTCTATTCAGATGAGTAGCACCATGGGAGTCTTGACTATTTCAGCCCCTGAAAGTATCTATATGATGAGATGAGAAACAGTGTTTGTATTTGTGTAATGAGATGTATGGTTGGGTCATATATAATCTAATTGAAAGTCACTGCTTATCTTAATCAAAAGGAAGAAGGCAGGAACTATTATTATATGGATTTTTATTGTATGTATTTTTAAATATTTGTTTTTCAACATTTTAAAGCCTGTACTGTACAGATTAAGGTAGTGGTTAACTACTGGATCCACGTCTTTTTTTTTTTTTTTTTGATGGGCAATCGGGGTTAAGTGACTTGCCCAGGGTCACACAGCTAGTGAGTATTATGTGTCTGAGGCCGGATTTGAACTCAGGTCCTCCTGAATCCAGGGCCGGTGCTCTATCCACTGTGCCTTACTCTTGCTCAGCCTTTTTACATTCCTTTCTTTAGTGGATATTTTTATTGGCACTCCGTGTTTAATGGCCCCAGTGTCCATTTATTCGTACAATTTTAAAATGACAATTTGTTTATGGCATTAGTGATGCAGTGTAAAGGGCTCTGGATTTGGAATCAGAGGACCTGCCTCTATCACTTTCCAAATATGTGATTTGGACCAAATTAGTTTGCCCCTGGATTTGAGCTTAGGTCTATCCTGACTCCAGGACCAACATTCTGTCCACTGTTTCAGCTGCCTGTGTGTGTGTGTGTGTGTGTGTGTGTGTTTGGAAGCATAGCAGCTCACTCAAGCTTTGCTTTATTGAATTGACTGAGCTGTGTTGTATTGACTTGTGAAATGAGGGGATTGGACTAGATGACCTGTCACTCTGTGAGCTGAGGAGTACTTCAGTTTGATTCATGGACATTTAAAGAAGAATTGAATTCCAAACATATACCACACTGCCCAGTAGATGCCTTCCACAAAGTGTTTTGAGTTCCCACAACCTCAGGTTCAGCCCTGGCTGGGGTGGCCTGACCCCAAGAGGGTCATATTTCCCTCTAGGCCTCCACCCTACAGTTAGACTACAGGGACATTTTTAGAACAAACCTCATGCCTGTCATATCCAAGTTTTCTCCTAAACTGTAGATAAGAGAGTCCCTTCTAGAAAAGGTGCTCAATGTATATTACATACCAGGTACCAGACATCAGTTTATTCTTTCCCTGAGGAAACTGCACAAGATCTAAGGGACTTACAGGTTTGTATGAACAAATACAAGAAACCTAACATACTCATACCTCTCCTTCTTATGCTTCCCCTTGAAAGGGAAAACACTTTTGTAGACTGCCAAATTGCTCTTTTGCATTCATGTCTGTACTCTCCAACAAACTCACAAGGTCTGGCTGCCCTGGCCAGCCAGGCATAGTTTTCTTTAGTTGCTCAGGTACACAGTCATTTTGGCATTGGTTTTCTTCTTCTCTGAGAAACTGCCTGTTAAGGAAATCTCCCACTGGGCAGCATTGGACTTAGGAATTGGGTAACTCCCAAACGTCCAAGGTTGGAAATGGCCATTTCTCAGGTTTGGGACCTGTTCTCAGAAAGGGAGTTGGAAAGGTAGAAAAAGACACTAGCAATTGGGAAATCTTCCTACTTGCAGTTGCAGGCATTTGTTTGCCACACCATGTGCTTTTGCTGTAAGTAGCTATTTTCATTTCAGCGGAGAAGAAAAGTCCCCTTTTCCTCTTTGTGTTCCCTCTGGAAGGAGAAGGGAAAGGAAGCATTTGAGAAGGATCCAGAAGAGACAGATGGATACAATTCATCTCACCTCCTCCTATAGACTCCATATGGAGGAAGTCTCCCTGATAAATCTATCCCTCTTTATTTTCATTGGGCATTTATTTTGGAGACACTAAGTACTAAGTACTAACCAGGAATGCCCTGGGAGGTAAGTCCATTAATCTCAGGAAAAAAAATGTCTTTCAGAAAGGGACTAGAGCACACATCTAATGTGCCCTGGTCCATTAATTTGAGGGTTCCCCTGATCCTTTGCTATACAAGTGCTATTTTTGTGTTTGATTTCTATTGATGTACATATATCAGTATAAGGGAGTTAGTCTTTCTTAGAAATAATCAGAGAAAAAGGGACCCAATAAAAATATATTAAAGCTAACCGTAAAGTTCCAACTCTTCCAAGTGGTTGTTTTATGAGGTATTACAAAGTCCCTTGAGTGATTCAGAAAAGAAACAGCATAGTAGGATAAAGAATTATAGCCATGGTTCTGGGTAATCTTTACAAGTCAATTCAGTGATTCCAGGAGAGAGACTTATCCTGACATGATGCATATAGCTAGAGTAAGGGAAGCTGTGAGAACTGGTGTGGAACAGGCAGAGGCTACTACTACCATCAAAATGGGCCACGTCTCTGGGAGCCAGACTTCTTAAGCAGATCGGGCACAAGGAATGTGGAAAGAAAAGTTTTTTTATTTCACTCATGACCTCAAGGTAGTATTTCCTTTCTCTCCTTGGGCTTCTTTGTAGTAGTCTCAAGGTTTTCTTCCTGGGCATAGGAAAGTCTGTATTTCTAAATAGTATTGACCACAAGCTTTTGCTAGTTGGTCTGTGAAAACAATTTTTTTTTTAACTTTTGTTTTTAAAACTTTGGGTTCCAAATTCTCTCCCTCCCTCTCTCCCCACCCATCCTCATTGAGAAGGCAAGCAACTCGATACAGGTTATACATGTGTAGTGATGCAAAACACTTCCACAGTAGTAATGTTGTGAAAAACTAACTACATTTCCCTCCATCCTATCCCACTGTCTGTTTTATCTATTCTCTCTTTTGACCCCATCCCTCCTCAGAAGCGTTTGCTTCTTATTCCCCCTCCCTGAATCTGCCCTCTCTTCTATCATCCCCACCTTATCCCCTTCCCCGCTACTTTCCTGCAGGGTAAGACAGATTTCTATACCCAATTGAGTATGTATGTTATTCCTTCCTTAAGCCTTCCTTAATCCAATGAGAATCAGATTCATTCATTCCCTCTCACCTTCCCCCACCTCCCTTCCACTGTAAAAGCTTTTTCTTTTCTGTTTTGTGTGAGATAATTTACCCCATTCTACCTCTCCCTTTCTCCTTCTCCCAGTATAATCCTCTCTCCCCCCTTAATTTTATTATGTTCATTTTTCCCCCTGAAGGATTGTAATCAGTTTTTCTGGGTAGGTGGTTCTTGGTTGTAATCTTATCTCCTTTGACTTCTGGAATATCATATTCCAAGCCCTGCTGTCCCTTAATGTAGAAGCTGCTAAAGCTCCTGATGGTGTTTCCACAATACTTGAATTATTTCTTTCTGGCTGCTTGCAATGTTTTCTCCTTGACCTGGGAATTCTGGAATTTGACTATAATATTCCTAGGAGTTTTCCTTTTGGGATCTCTTTCAGGAGATGATTGGTGGATTCTTTCCATTTCTATTTTACCCTCTGGTTCTAGAACATTAGGGCAATTTTCCTTGATAATTTGTTGAAAGATGATGTCTAGGCTCTTTTTTGATCATGGCTTTCAGGTAGTCCAATAATTTTTAAATGATCTCTCCTGGATCTATTTTCCAGGTGAGTTGTTTTTCCACCTTGATATTTCACATTGTTTTCAATTTTTTCATTCTTTTGGTTTTGTTTTACAATTTCTTGATTTCCCATAAGGTCATTAGCTTCCATTTGCTCCATTCTAATTTTTAAGGAAGTATTTTCTTCAGTGAGCTTTTGGACCTCCTTTTCCATTTGGCCAGTTCTGCTTTTTAAGGCATTCTTCTCCTCATTGACTTTTTGGACCTCTTTGACCATTTGGGTTAAGCTATTTTTAAGGTGTTATTTTCTTCAGTATTTTTTTGTGTCTCCTTTAGCAAGCTGTTGACTAGTTTTTCATGATTTTCTTGCATCACTCTCATTTCTCTTCCCAGTTTTTCCTGTATTTCTCTTACTTGTTTCTCAAAATCCTTTTTGAGCTCTTCCATGGCATGGGACTCATTCATATTTTTCTTGGAGGCTTTAGATGTAGGAGCTTTGACTTTGTTGTCTTTTTCTGGTTGTATGTTTTGAACTTCTTTGTCACCAAAGTAAGATTCTATGGTCTGACTTTTTTTTTTTGCATTGTTTGCTCATGTTCCCAGCCAATTATTTGACTTTTAAACTCTTTGTTAAGGTAGGGCTCTGCTTCCAGTGTGGAGGGTGTACTGTCCCAAGCTTGGGAGGTTTTGTGCAGCTGTTTTCAGAGATACTTATAGGGACCTGTACATTTTCAGTTCTTCCAAGGTGGTATGATCAAAGGTGAGGTGTTTACTCCTTTCCTGGCCTGTGCTGTGGTCTATGAGTGACCACAAGAACTCTTTTCTGCCTTGGAACTGTGAGGAGGATTTCCTCTCCACAGCCACTACAAGCTCCACCATGCCAGCACTCCTCCTTGCCCCAGACCACCACGCAGAACTGTGACCCAGATCCAAGCACGGGCAAAGCAAAAGATTCCTGCCTCAGCACCAGCAAAGAGATCCTTGCAATCCCCCTCTGATCAGCCACTCGATTCCCCTTCAGTCTGTGGGCAGGAAGCTCAGAAAGCAG